GTAGATATGTGGGCAGAGTTGGCATCGAGGTTTGTTGCATGGTTTGGTTCCTGATTTAGAGTTACTATGGTGAGGTGTGTGGTTGCTAGTGAGAATATGCTTAAGGTTGGTGGGTTGTCTGTGGGCAAGGACTGGCCTGCCTCCCAAGTCTGTGAAAGCGAGGGATCATTGTCCAGGATGGGTTGTAGATCACTGATGATGCGTTGGAGAGGTTTAAGCTAAGGACTGTAGGCGATGGCCAGTGGAGTTCTGTTGGTTTCTTTCTTGGGCTTGTCTTGCACCAGGAGGCTTCTAGGTACATGTCTGGCTCTGTTGATTGGTTTCCTTATTTCCTCATGCAGGTATCGTAGTTTTGAGAATGCTTGGTGAAGAACTTGTAGGTGTTGGTCTCTGTCTGAGGGGTTGGAGCAAATGCGGTTGTACCTCAGCACTTGGCTGTAGATGATGGATTGTGTGGTGTGTCCGGGATGTAAACTGGAGGCATGAAGGTAGGCATAGCGGTCGGTGGGTTTTCAGTATAGGGTGGTGTTAACGTGACCGTCACTTATTTGTACCGTGGTGTCTAGGAAGTGGACTTCCCATGTAGATTGGTCCAGGCTGAGGTTAATGGTGGGGTGGAAGCTGTTGAAATTGTGGTGGAATTCTTGTGGGGCCATCCGGGTGCCCATAGCAGTGCTACTGGTCTGGAGGTATATATTGTTACCAAATTTGAAATAATTTGGTGTGACGATAAAGTCACAGAGCTCAGCAACCAGTTATGCTGTGTCATCATCAGAGGTACTGTTCCTGACAGCTTGTATTCCATCTGTGTGTGGGATGTTTGTGTAGAGAGCCTCCACATCCATGGTGGCTAGGATGGTATTTTCTGGAAGATCACCAATGCATTGTAGTTTTCTCAGGAAATCAGTGGCGTCACGGAGATAGCTAGGAGTGCTGGTGGCATAGGGTCTGAGTAGAGAGTCCACATAACCGGATAGTCCTTCAGTGAGAGTGCCAATTCCAGAGATGATGGGGTGTCCAGGATTTCCAGGTTTGTGGATCTTGGATAGTAGATAGAATAACACTGGTTGGGACTCTAAGGGTATGTTGATTTGTTCCTGTGTTAGTGTAGGGAATATCCTCAGTAGATAGTGCAGTTTCTTAGTGGGATCTGAGGAAAGTGGCCTATAGAATTTGGTATTGGAGAGTTGTCAGGCAGCCTCCTTTTGGTAGTCAGACCTGTTCAACAGCACCTCCTTTATCATCCTCTTTGATTATAATGTCAGGGTTGTTTCTGAGGCTGTGAATGGCATTGCGTTCTGCACAACTTAGGTTATGAGGCAAGAGATGTTGTTTTTCCACAATTTCTGCCTGTGCACGCCGGCGGAAGCTTTCTATGTATAGGTCCAGACTGTCATTTCGACCCTCAGGAGGAGTCCACGTGGAGTTCTTCTTCTTGTGTTGTTGGTGGGAGGGTATCTGTGTATCAGTGCACTATTCAGTGTTATCTTGAAAGTATTCTTTGAGTCAGAGATGGCGAAAGTAGGCTTCCAGATCACCGCAGAACTGTATCATGTTCGTGGGGGTGGTGGGGCAAAAAGAGTCCCTGAGATAGGACAGACTCTTCTGCCAGGTTGAGTGTGTAGCTGGATAAATTGACGATATTGCTGGGTGAGTTAGGGGTACCACTGTTGTGGCCCCATGTGACAGGTAGGGTTTTAGACAGCTTACGGTCCTTTTTCCTTTGTAGAGAGGTGAAGTGTGTAATGTAGATCTCCTGTCTTATTTTAAGAAAGTCCGTTTGTGTGGAAGGTTGGTTATTTATGAAAGTCTCCAGGTTGAAGAGCTCTTTTTTGATGTTTTCCTGTTTGCTGTATAGGATGCTGATCAGGTGGTTCCTCAGTTTCTTTGCTAGTGTATGACATAATCTCTCACTGTGGTCTGTGCAGTACGTAGATAGCAATGGATTTCCTAGGGTTGTGTCTGGGACCAGAGATATTGGCTAGTGTCATTCGATTGCACAATCCAAGGAGCAGCTTACATGCCACAGGCTGTGCGTGAACAGCCCAGGAGCAGGGGTTCTCACAGCAGAGCAGGGTAAGGCTGGCTCCCAGAGTCAAGGATTGGAGTGACCTAGCAGATCTCTGGTCCAGACAACACCAGAGGGGAACGTCACAGTGGCACAGCGAGCAGGGTGTATGTGCAGCTTGTTACTCCAAGTGGAGTTCACACTTTAAGCACTGATATTTGTGATTTTAAGTGAGTCTGAAGTGCAGTGTCTAAGAACAGTTAGGAGGAGGTCATTATCCGTGTAATTCCACTGATCACCTGAGGAATAACTTCCCTGTGCTAGGAGGAAGCAGGCAACCAATAACTCATGTTAGTTCTGCTGTCCTCAACATAGGTTTCAATTGCTTGGGGGGTTTCTATCCTATTGGTTTTGTGAGATTAGTCTCTGCAGAACCAGACAAGGAGCATGTTAAGGTTGTTGAAATTAATGGCAGGAGTACTTTGGGCAGAGGGATACAGGGGCCCAGATCTCTCTGGTTAAGCAGCGTGTGGTCCCAAAGACCAGTATGCTACCTGGCCAAATGGCAGAGATTGTGGGGGTGGGCAAAAGCAGATTCCTCATACCACTAGTTAAAATCCATGTGGTGTGGATGAGAATGAGAGAGTCTCCTTGGTTCTTCTGCAGCAGGGAGAAGACACGTGCTTCCAGGTGGGAGGGTGGTTGAGACCAACTCCTGCACTGCAGCTGGAGGCAACACCACATCAGGAAGGGATGGGGGTGTAATGCCTGCCAGGGAGAGAACTGTCCAGGTTGTTAGCTGCCAGCAGGTCACAGCTGAACCAGAGGCAAAACTGGCTCTAGGGAGCATAGAACAATGTGTCCCAGAGGAGAGCCCAGAGAAGGGGCAGGGGATCTCAGAAACCACTTAGGTGAGTGAGGATTCCTGTGACTCCAACACAGGGAAGCAGGGTGCTTCCAAGTATGCAAGGGGATGAGACTAGCTCCTTTCCAACAGGAGGCAACATGCCCTCTGGTGCAGGTGTTGTCAGTGATTAAGGAAACTGTCCCAGTTGTTAGCTTGCAACGTTTTGCAGATGAACAAGAGACAGAAAACTTACTAGGGAGCACAGAGAAATGTGTCTTAGGAGGGGGCCCAGAGGGGGAAACTGGGGAAGGAATAGTGGGGTTACAGGAATGTCTCCTCATTAGTCACTTGGCGCAGGATGCCCAGGGCACTAGGAGCTGGATTTTCTGCATATGTACAGTCCTGGGGTTGGGAGACGGCTCCCCAAAGGGCCAGCCAATGTGCAGGATCCCTCTGAACACCTATCTTGCCAGACCCTAAGGCACCAAAATTCCAGAAACAGGATTACATTAAGAGCCCAAACAGAGAGGAACACTGGAGGGAAGGCAGTGACTGATGACATGGGAGAGAGTCAAAGGACACCATGAATAATGAACAAACTAACCTCAAACTACACTATCTGAACAGAGGACATGGTGCCAAAGATACTTGTAAACACCCATCTGTGATAAAATTTTTGGTATTAATGTTAAGTTTTGGGATAAGAATTTTGTTACTGATGTTAAACCTTACGTTAATGCTACTTTTCAATTAATACCTGGAAACAGGTTTAAAGCTTATCACAGCAGAGAACCCATAAAAAAACCTGGTTTGCTGTGTGTGAATGGGGAAAGAGGCATACCGCCTCATGGCCTTAATGGCTGGATGCCTAAAGAACTGTAACACAAACTGCCTTTGAGACAGTTGACTGCAAGAGGGTTAATCACTGACTACGGGGAGGGGGGGAGGTGTGATGTTCTGACCTCAGGGGGAACACCCAGCACCCCCATGTTCATCCTTATAATATGACTGTGTGGTATCCAATGCAAAGTTTGTCATGTTGGGTGTCTTTGGAAGGCTAATGATGCACTGAGATATAGTAATGTTATAAGTTGTAATTTCATGTATATATTTGAGGCTGAAAATGTGTCCTCATGGCTTAAAGCAAGCCCAGGCAAAACTCTCTAGAAGCAGAGGGGCAGTTCACACCTCATCATGGCATGTAAGGGACAAACCCAGCCCAGCCTCACAGGAACAAAGGACAGTGGCCTAGGCAACAAAAAAGGATCTGTTGGACTCTCAAGTGAGTCACCCCCCTTCCTTTGGTCAGTTTGGGACTACTATGAGAATGCTCACCTGACTCTGAAGGGGGGGCAAAGCCAAGAGGGAAGAAAGTACATGATACAAGGGAGAGACGTTTGTTATGGTCTTCCTCTCTCTTCCACCTCCATCTACAGACACCACACCAAGTGACTGAAGTGCTGATCAAAGGAGAGAGCCTGGCTGAAGAGCAACCAGCCAGCCTGTGGTGAGAAGCATCTAAGTTTGTAAGGGCACTGAAAGTGTTAAGATCAGCTTAGAATGTGTTTTGCTTTTACTTCATTTGACCAAATCCGACTTGTTATGCTTGGACTTATAATCACTTAAAAGCTATCTTTGTAGTTCATGTTTGTTTATTCTACCTGAAGCAGTGTGTTTGATTTGAAGCATCTCAGACACCCTTTGGAATAACAAGTCTGGTACATACCAATTTCTTTGTCTCTGGTCCCAGACACAACCCTGGGAACCTCAGTCTTGCAGTGTCCAGTTATGCCTGCTAAACACTGCAAGCTTAAACGAAGCTTGCAGTGTTTAGCAGGCATAACTGGACACTGCAAGACTGAGTTTCCCAGGGCTGTGTCTGGGACCAGAGATATTGGCTAGTGTCATTCAATTGCACAATCCAAGGAGCAGTTACATGCCAGAGGCTGTGCATGAACAGCCCAGGAGTGGAGGGGTTCTCACAGCAGAGCAGGGTAAGGCTGGCTCCCAGCAGGGAGGGAACAGTGAGCAATGCTAGTTGTACTCCCAGCTGCTCCTGTCTCAGCTCACCACACTAGGGGTTATCGAAGATCCCACATACCCCTCCCTGGATGGCTCCTGCAGAGAGTTTAGTTACCCACCTACCTGTCAAGCACGAGCTCCTCCAGTTTATGCAGGTCACAGGCGATATACTCCAGGGCCATGTCAGTGATCCGAGGGCACCATGACAGGTCCAAGCTCCTTAGCTTCCGCAGGTTCTCAGCCACGAGCTCCACCCCATCATCAGTCACCTTGGAACAGCCAGAGAGACTCAGCACACTCAGGTTGGGCAGGCTGTGCACCATGTTGACCACCCCATGGTTGGTGATCTCCCAACAGGAGCTGAGGCGCAGGGTGTGGGTGGTGTAGCCCTGCTTGGCAGTGAAGTAGGCCAAGGCTGTGTCCGTCACATGGTAGGCCTGCAGATTGAGCTCAGTCAGGTTGGGCAGCAGCTGGGAGATGGCGGCGATGGCATCGTCAGCCACATTGATGCAGTCGCTGATGCTCAAGGAAGTGATGCGAGCGTTCAGGCTTGACCACAGGCCGGCTTCTGTGAAGTCATTGCAGCCAGAGAGCTCCAGGCGCACCACGCCCTGCATCTGCTCCAGCATCACCTGCCAAGAGACATGCTGTCAAGCCCATGGGCACTGGGCAAGCCTTCTGCCACACTTCATAGATTCATGGAGTTTAAGGCCAGAGGGACCATTACATCATCTAGCCTAACCTCCTGTACTTCACAGGTCACTACATTCTACCCATGTGTTGAGAACAATAACTGGGGTTAGACTAAAGCTTTTCAGTTCTCAGGAGACTAAACTACTGTGTGCCACAGGTTCACCAGTGCCCAAGGCCCCAGTAAAGGCAGGGAACTGATTAGGTGTGATATGCCTGGATGATCCTAGAAAGCAACATGTCCCACGCTGCAGAGGAAGGTGATAACCCCCAAGGTCCCTGCCAGTCAGACCTGGGGGAAAATTCATTCCTGACCCCAACCCTGAGAATGTGAGTGAGATACACCAGCCAGCCTCTAAGAGAGACAATTTTCTGTACCACCTCAGAGCACCCTTCCAAGCCACATGGCTGTCCCATCTCCGGCTGTGGCCAATCCCTGCTGCTTCAGAGGAAGGAAAAAAACAAACAAACACCTCCCCCAAACCCAGAACACACCTGGCCAATTGTTCATCAAGCTACAGATCCTTTCTCAGAGCTGCAGGTGACTGGCTGAAGGCCTCAAGTATGAGATTTCTTCTGAGTGGCCTCTGAATCTCAGTTATAGGCTGCAATGTGAAGATGTCTCCCTAGCTTCTCTTTGGTTAGTCTCCAGCCCACCTTCTTCCCTCCCGCCACCCTTCCATGCTCAATTCCTGCGTCACCTGCTGTTTGGCCATGGAGCCAGGCCTGCCATGTTATGTGTCCTCCTCCATTAAAATGGCTCACAAGGTCTCAGACATACAGCGAAATTGAGTGTAAATGAGCCCCACTGAACCAATGCAAATATTTCCCCCAGGACTTAGGGGGCTACCCTCTCTCAGAACCTCTGCTCTGCTGGAGACATCAGGCACAGCAGATTCACAAAGGACCCTGCCAGCAGTCCTGGGTTCTGACCCCTGTGAAATCCTTGAGACCTAAGCTCTGCTGGAAAGTGATACACCCCCTCAGCACATCCTGGTGGAGCTTGTAACACCTTTAGGAAGGCCTGTTTGGTGGGGCTCATGGTGCATACAAGCTCAGGAGACTAAACCAGTGAAGCTTATAACCTCTTGTGGCACTCTAACCCAGGCTGTCTTACACCAGAGACACGCCTGAGTCCTGTGAGGACTGCACATGAGGCACAGTGGGTGTTCAAAGCACCCAGCACAGCATGTGGAACTTTCAATTTTCATAAGTGCAGCTGACAAACACCCCACCTGGTCTCCACTTAAAATGTAGGCCAATATAGCTATGGCCCTCAAGGGTATGAAAAAAATCAATGCTTCTCAGTGCTGTAGCTACGCCTACCTAACCCCTGGTGTACACACAGCTACTCTAGGTGTAGCAAGGTCGAGATTCACTGGTGTGGTGCCTCCTGCTGGTCGTCCTGGGAATTAGCGCTTTCCCAGCCTTGGAGCACCCTCTGCTGGCTGGTGGCTCACCCGGACCCCAGTGCCCCTTTACCTCTGGGTCTCCCCTCCTGGGGGAACTCACAACCCTCTATACCCACCTCACCTCAGTGGCTACTGCCAGTCATCACCTAGCCCCCTCTCACTGGGGGAAACTGCAGTCCATGATGGCCACATATCATTGGCATGGGGACCAGCTGCCCCACCTATTCCTGGGCTGCACCTCCCAGCCCCAGTACCTGCGTCAGCCTTGATCAAGGACTCAGCTTGGGGAGTTGCCAGGCTGGAGTTCCCCAGCTCCTCTTGCTCTTCCCCCAGTACTGCTCTGTCCAAGGTACCCTTTGCTCTTTCAGGCAACTGGGTCCATCTCTCTCCAAAGCTAGAGAGACTCTGACCCAGCTCCTCCCTTAGGACTTCTTATACTCCCAACCCAGCCCTGATTGGCTGCTTCAAACTGGCTCCTGATTGGCTCCCCAGGGCTGTTTTTAACCCCTTCCACACCGGAGTGACCACCCCGCTACACTCCCCCCCCCTTCAAAATCCAATGCCTGGGGATTGGGGGGTGGGATCCTCTCGCCTGTGTGACCCAGAGATGTCCCGCCAGTCATACTTGCTTTTCTTCACTCTCCTTCAGTTTTAAGGCCAGGTCTTCCTTGTGGGCTTTTTGCAGCTCCACCTCCGCCATCCAGCAGGCCTGTTTCGCTGCCGTCAGCCGCGTACCTAGGCTAACATTCCCCAGGTTCTCTAACTTCAGGGTCTGGGTTCCCGCTGTAACCTGCTCTCCGTCAGTCTGGGTCCCTGCTGGGCCCAACTCTGTCGCAGTACCTTTATCGGATAACTTCCATTGGGCCTGGCCCCCTCTAGGTCAACCCTGACAGCCTTCGCCCCACCGGTGTCCTTAGGTATTTCGTCCTGCACCCCGCATCCCTTGAATGGGTGGTGTCTCCTAATATGGCCCCTCTCCTGGCACAAGAAGCAAGCTCCTTGCCTCCTCCCAGCCACGGGTCTTTTCCAGTCCCTGGGCCTGGGCAATCCCTCCATAGGTGCCCTCGCTGCCTACAGGCCCAACATGTCGGTCCCGTCTTGGGTTTCTTCACCCAACAGCGCTTTCCAGAGTCTTGTTCCTTCCCCTGTTCTGGGTGAGGCTCCTTGCCCCCATCCCAGTAGGGACAATCCCATCTCAAATGTCCCTGCCTCCCACAGGCATAACAAGCCCTGCACTCTGCCTCAGGCCTCCTGGCCCTGGTGCTCAGCTTTCCATCATGCTCTCGGCGGCTCCTCTGAAACTCCCTCCGTAGTTTTATCAGGGCCTGCTGCTTCTCCACCAGCTGCCCCAACTGTTAATGGAGGGCCCACTGCACCTCCCAGAGTCTCTCTTGGGTCTCCCAGATCCCTTGCAGCAGGGATCCCTTTCACCCCTGTGGTTCATCAGTCCCTTTTCACCAGGGCGCTGATGCCTGTCCCCAACCAGGGATAGCACCTGGGGCCTCCACCAAGAAAACCCCAGTGTAGCCGGGATCCATCGTCCCTTCCTCTGTCTGGCAATAGTCCCAGTCCTGTCCCTTCCCCTTGTATCAGGGTGACCATTTATGCCCACATTCTTCACCAAGTGTAGCAAGGTCGAGACTCACCGGTGCAGCACCTCCCATCCTGGGAATTAGCTCTTTTCCAGCCTTGGAGTGCCCTCTGCTGGCTAGTGGCACACCTGCCTCAGGCCCCCGTATCCCACCCGGACCCCAGTGACCCTTTTCCTCAGGGTTCTTCCCCAGCAGTACCCCCATACTCTGGGTCTCCCCTTCCACGGGAACTCAGAACCCTCTATACTTACCTTGCCTCAGGGGCTATTACCAGTCATCACCTAGCCCCCCTCACTGGGGCATACTGCAGTCCATAATGGCCACTCATCATTGGCAAGGGGGTCAGACCAGCTGCCTCTACCTATTCCCAGGCTGCACCTCCCAGCCCCAGTACCTGTGTCAGCCTTGATCAAGGCCTCAGCCTGGGGAGTTGCCAGGCTGGAGCTCCCCAGCTCCTTTTGCCCTCCCCCCAGTGCTGCTCTGTCCAAAGTACCCTTTGCTCCTTCAGGCAGCTAGGTCCATCTCTCTCCAAAGCTAGAGAAAGACTCTGTCCCAGCTCCTCCCTTAGGCCTTCTTATACACCCAGTCAGGCCCTGATTGGCTGCCTCAAGCTGCCTCCTGATTGGTTCCCCAGGGCAGCCCTTTCCCAGGGCTGTTTTTAACCCCTTCCACACCGGAGCGGGGTGACCACCCTGCTACACTAGGTCAATGGAAGAATGCTTCTGTTGACCTCGCTAGTGTTGCTCGGGGAAGTGGTGTTTCTTCAGCAAAGAAAAATCCCCCTCCATCTCAACAGAAGTTTGTTAAAGTGAGAAAGTATGTTGGTAATGCTCACATGCTCACAGATGTCTCTCAGCTACAGTGAGCTCTGCAGCCATGTCTACATTACAGGGTTATACTGGCATAGCTACGGTGACATAACTATGCCACTATTGTCCCCATAGTGTAGACATGGACACAGAGTTCACTTCAGCTGAGAAATATCCGGGACTGCTGGCTGGCCTCGTGGGGTTTTGGGCCTGAGGTCTGGGGCAGCCACCCAGGTCTGCAAGCTCTGGGGTCTGGGGCAGCCACATGGTGGAGGTCCGGGGTCAGGGAAGCTGGCTGGCCCTGTGGGGTTGGGGGTCCGAGGCTGCTGGTCCCATGTGGTTGGGGCCCGGGGTCTGGGGCAGCTGCCCAGACCTGTGAGCTCCAGGGCAGCTGCCCGGCCCCAGTCTGGGGCAGCTGTGCAGTGAGGTCCTGGGGTGTGGGTCTGGGGTCAGGGCAACCAGCCCGCCCCGTGTGGTGGGAGTCTGAGGCTGCAGGCCTGCTTATTGGGTTCGAGCAGCCGCTTAGCCCTGTGAGTTCCAGGGCAGTCTGGGGCAGCTGTTTAGTGGGGGGCGGGGGTCCAGCCCATCCCGTGTGGGAGAGGTCCAAGGTCGGGGCAGCTGGCCCATCCCATGGGATCTGGGGCAGCCACCTGGCCCTGGCCCTGCAACCTCTGGATTCCAGGGCAGCCACGCAGCGGGGGTCCAGCGCAGGCAGCCTGCCGCTGCCCTGACACCCAGCCTCTGTGGCCCAGGTAACACATTGTGAGCCACATATGCCGCCCACAATGTGTAATAAGTTGAGAACCACTGCCCCAGACTAAAGCTCTCTGTTAAGGCAGAGACACTGTCAGAAATATATTGCCTTCAAAACAACACGTAAAACACAAATGCTTGATGTACACAGCTGAAACTCCAACATAACATTAACTCTGCTCCTGGGTCCCCGCCCACACTCCACCTAGACGTCACAGTCCTCTTCATTCACATTTCCCCTGTGGTCTCTAGCTCACCAACATCCCCATCCACACACTACATTCTGACCAGCATCATCTCTCTCCAGCCTGCTACAGACCAGATGTGAAGCCTTGTCACACCTTGACCTTCCCATGTATCCCAGTGGTCACACCCTGCCCCACCTGGCCCACCATCTCTGCTCTGCAGTCAATCCTATGTGCCTGAGGGAGGGAGGGGGAAGCTCTTCTTGGGACCTCCAGCAAGATGTCATTTTAATGTCCACTTTCCTCCTGTATCCCCTCCCTTTGGGTTAATCACCAAGTCACATGTTGTAGGCTTAGGGAGCCAGGATGCAGCCAGAGCATCTCCCCTTTCTCTGCCTGGGTACTGCACACTGCTCTGGCAGCAGCCACCCTGGCACTAGGGAACACCAGCTTACAAATCTGGGGGACTCTTTCCAGCATGGCACTCACATCCCAAGGTTTACTGGCTTGTAATCCACTCTGGCACACTCCTGATCCTATTGGGATTCAGGAAGTGGGCGGGCAAAGCCCACCCACTGCTAAAGGATCTCCCCCCAGCCTAAGGGGGGGGGGTCCACAGGACCTGGAGACCAAAAAAATTACAGGGGACAACTAATAAAAGAACAGGGACAGGAGTGAGGTCAAAGGGTCAAACGAAGCAAACCAGACGGGGACACCGAGCACAGAACCTCGGACAGCGCCCACTGCTCCTTGAAGGTGTCAAGGGAACCAGCGGACGCCGCCCAGAGGAACTCTGCCTGGATACGTGAACGAACGGAGGACCTGAAATAGGCCCCACAGTCACAGGAGACTCCATCGGCCAACCTCCTCACTCTGGTCTTATAGATGGCCAGTTTCGCTAGGGCCAGGAGGAAGTTGACCAGGAGGTCCTGTGACTTTGTGCATAAATAAAAAGGTGAGGAGAAAAGTACAACCAAAATCTTAACAAAATATCCGTGAGGAGCCGGAATAGGGGCTGCAGCCTGGCGCACTCCAGGTAAACATGCGCCAGGGTCTCCCTCACGCCGCAAAAGGGGCAGGTGTCTGGGATAGGGGTAAACAGCGCCAAGTTTATGGCACACTCCTGATGGGTGGCAGAGATTCCTTGCCCAGTAGCTGATGAAGGCTGGAAGACTGGGAATGGGCTTTACCAGCACACAGCTATGGAGGGCTCTGCTGGAATGGATACACACAGCAGAGTGGACTTTCTGCTTATGGAGCATTGATGAGCAGTCTCCTCGCTGAAAAGGCAGGGGAAATATGGGGCTGAGTTGAGGCTAGCCTTGGAAATTTAACTACACCTTTCCTGTGTGTGTAACAGCAGTGTATAAGAAGATGGTAGTATCCCTTTCAATATTTGTGAGCCTTCTTGTGGCGCTCACCGTGCTCTCTTGTGGAGCTCACCATGCTCTCCATTTTAGATGCCACCAGAAACCAGCCAGAGCAGTAGGATGGACATAGTTAGGACTGGCATGCTTGTGTATCTTGTGATTTCTTTATATTATTCTTGTTGTGTAAAGAGCAAAAGACACAACAATCCTGGGGGCATTGAAAAGTTGTTTCAGTAGTGCAGGTATTGGTCCAAGACTCTGGAGACCTGGGTTCTATTCCCAGGTCAGCCCATGACCTTTTGGATGACCCCTGGGCAAGTCACTTAACCTTTCTGTGTCTCAGTTTCCCCATGTATAAAATGGAGAGAATAATACTTGCCTCCTTTGTACAATGCGGTGGGATCTGTGGATGAAAAGTCCTGCAGAAAAGCTAGGTGGCAATATTATTATGGCCAGATTGTTTTAAAGGGCAATGGAGTAAAGGGCCTTTATTCTGCCCTATCAAAGGTTTGTGCCCGGGGCCAGATTTCGCTTAGAATGCGGCAAGGAAGTGGAGGAGAAGATGGGGAGTCATAGAGTTTAAGGCCAGAAGGGACCACCAGACCATCTTGTGACAATCTGACCTCCTGTCCATAAGTCCACTGACATCACCCAGCACCTGCACACTATCCCCAACAACTGAACTCAGCCCAAAGGATTACAGCCCATGGGAGACTAGGCAGAGAAAAGGAGGGACTGACATGTACCAATGCCCAAGGCAAATGGAATGGCAGAGAAATGATTAAGTGAGATGCACCCAGATAATCCTAGAAAGTGACCTTCACCCACATGCTGCAGAGGAAGGCAAGCCAGAGGAAGGCACTGCCAGTCTGACCTGTGGGAAATTCCTTCCCAAGCACACAGGGAGATCAGTTAGACCCTGAGCACATGAACAAGAACCAGCCAGCCACACACCCGAGCGAAAGAATTCTTGGTACCACCTCAGAGCCCTGCCATACCACTCAGTGTCCCATCTCCAGCTGTGGCCATCAATGATTCTTCCGAGGAAGAAGATCAACTCCCCACCTCAGCATACGTTGGAAGGGAAAAAAATCCTTCCTCGCCCCTGCAGGTGCCTGGCTAAAACCCTGATGCATTAGCTTTTAGGAAGATAAGCAAAAAAACAGAAGTGAGTCCCAGGCCTGTGGAGTCCTGCCCCCTGGGGAGAATGAGGGGAGCTCAGCATGGGGGCCTGGCTCACCTCCATAATGCAGAAGTGCTGCTGAGTACAGAGACTAAGGAGTGATGAGACTGGGCCCTGTCCATAATGATCCACTCAGGCTGACTCAGTTGCCTGGGGATGAGTGTTATGTCATACCATGCAGGCTTTCTCAGCTTGATCCCAGACCTTAGGTGCTCACTCCTTCAGGTGCCAGCAGGGGGCAGTGAATCTAGTACAGTAACTCCTCATTTAACGTTGCATCTGACATGCATCTGACGAAGTGAGTATTCACCCACGAAAACTTATGCTCCAATACATCTGTTAGTCTATAAGGTGCCACAGGACTCTTTGTCGCTTTTTACAGATCCAGACTAACATGGCTACCCCTCTGATACTTGTCACTTAACGTTGTAGTTATGTTCTTGAAAAATGCGACTTTAAGTGAAACGATGTTAAGTGAATCCAATTTCCCCATAAGAATGAATGTAAACTGGGGTGGGGGGTAGGTTCCAGGGAATTTTTTTTTTGCCATATAGTACAGTACTATAGTTGGGAGGTGCCCCCGCCTTAGCCCACCACAGGCACAGCCCACTGGCACTGGAGACAATGAGGCAGGCAAGGAGGCTGAAGGTGCTATAGGCTAGGAAAAGCATGTTGTGCAGCAGCAGCAGCAGCTTCCCCTACTCTGCAAGCACCAAGGA